GACGTGTGTCATGATGTTGAAGAAGGATGGTGGGAACACCAACTCGAAACTGACAAGACATTGCACCAAATCATTCTGTAACCTTGGTATGATTTCTGGATCGATTACCTTCTGAGAGATTGCATTGAGAAATGCACATAGCTTCACAATGGCTAATCGAACTTTTTCCGGTAGAAGCCCCCTCAATGCAACCGAAACCAGTTGCGTCATAATCACGTGGCAGTCATGAGACTTTAGGTTCTGGAACTTTTTCTCTGCCATGTTTATTATTCCCTTTATATTCGACGAGAAGCCAGACGGTACCTTAATACTGAGCAGGCATTCAAAGAAGATTTCCTTCTCTTCTTTGGTAAGAGCGTAGCTTGCATGACCCTGGTGTATGCCGTCTTCCCCGTGCATACGTTGCTGGTCCTCCCATGCCTCAGGTGTATCTTTTGTCTTCCCATACACGCCCAAGAAGCCAAGCAGGGTCACGCAAAGATTCTTCGTCACGTGCATCACGTCGATTGCGGAGCGGACCTCTAGGTCTTTCCAATATGGCAGGTCCCAAAATATAGATTTCTTCTTCCACATGGGTGCGCATCCATTAGCGTCCTTTGGAACAGGTTGTCCGCCAGGACCCTTTCCAAATATCACCTTCAAATCCTTGACCATATCATGTACATCAGCACCAATACGGTGGCGAGACTTCGTCCGGTGATCCGCCTTACCTTTGAAATGCTTGCCTTTCTTTCTTACGGGATGCCTGCTCGGAAGAAATCGACGATGTCCCAGGTACACATTCTTCTTACAACTATTCAAATATATACTGTCGGTATCATCCAAACAGTGCGTGCATCCGTGGTATCCCTTGTTTGTCTGTCCTGAAAGGTTACTGAGAGCAGGCCAATCATTGATGGTCACGAACAGCAATGCCTTTAGGTCAAATTCTTCCTGTTTGTGCTCATCCCATGCACGTACACCTGTTCCATTCCACAGTTGTAAGAGTTCTTCAACTAATTGCCTTAGGTACACATCAATGTCGTTGCCGGGTTGTTTAGGGCCTTGGATGAGCACTGGCATCATAATGAACTTCCGCTTCATGCACAACCAAGGAGGAAGGTTATACAAACATAGAGTCACAGGCCAGGTGCTATGGTTGCTCTGCTCCCCAAAAGGATTAATGCCATCTGCGCTTAGACCAAACCATACGCTCCTTGCGTCATCTGCAAACTCCTTCCCGTACTTTCTTTCGATTTTTCTCCACTGCGACCCGTCAGCGGGTACTCTCAACTTTCTGTCTTTCTTACGGTCTTCTCTGTGCCATCGCATCGCCTTGGCATGCTCTTTGTTTTGGAACAAACGTTTCAACCGTGGTATTATAGGAGAATACCACATCACCTTGGCAGGAATCTTCTTCTTGGGGCGCTCGCCCTCGACATCACCATGCTCATCGCGGCTGATCTTATAGCGCAATGCACCACATACCGGGCAAGCATTCAAATCCTCATACTCACCGCGGTAGAGGATGCAATCATTAGGGCATGCATGTATCTTCTGCACCTCTAACCCTAGAGGGCAGACAGCCTTCTTTGCTTCGTACGTACTCTCGGGCAACTCATTGTCCTTTGGAAGCATATTCTTTATCATTACCAGCAACTTTCCAAATCCCTTGTCAGATACACCATTCTCTGCCTTCCATTGCAGCAATTCCAGTGTGGTGCCCAGCTTTTTCTTGTCACCTACGCAATTCAGGTACAACAATTTTTTGTGATCCTCTAACATGCGCTGCAACTTCTTCTTCTCCAAATCACTTGCGCAGTTTCTCTTTGCATCGGCAATGGCCCGACCTAGATCATCAACGGGCTCATCTGATGCCTCTTCTTCAGCTTCTTCCCGCATTCCCGGCTCAGCTTCTTCCCACATTACCGGCTCAGCTTCTTCCCCCATTGTTGTATCATCGTATTCAGGGAACCCATGGCCAGGATAGCTGTCGTCGTCCTCTTCTTCTTCATTGTCTTCCATCATAACCCCTCTTTCTCCGTGCTTGGTCCAAACATTATAGTGGGGCATGAAACCGGACTCAAACAGGTGGACGTGAATGGTTCTTGACGTAGAGTAATTGCGACCATTCTTACAGCGAGCACATGGACAAGGCATAAAACCATCCGCCCGCTTGTTTGCCTCAGCCGCAAGTAGAAAAGTATGCACGCCCTCAACGAACTGGGGAGAGCATCGGTCATCGTACATCCATTGCCGGCTCATCTTCATTACACAACACCGAATAGACCAAATTAATACAAGTTCATACATAAAGTTCATACAACACTTAAATGCAACAAACAAATAACTCTCTAGCTAAAGCATTTAAATGCAACAACAAATGCGATCAAGATCGCAACTAAGGTAACAATTGATCCAACAGCATAATGATACCAAGCCTCACTATCGATGGCATATTTTCTAATCTTTCTAATCTTCAAGCGCATTTCTCCTTCTTGATCTTGTGATCATCGACGACATCAGCAACATGCAACTCCAATTCCATCTTCTCCCCCTCAATTCTTTTCAATTTTTCTTTCAAGTACTCGTTTTCTCTTTCAACTAAATTTAACCTCTCGACAATAGGGTCAGTTGGAATTTCCGGTTCACATACCTCCTAGATAAAAATATCTATGTCAACTTGATGGGCATAATTTGTCATAAACACGAAATGCAACAAATAGTTTTAAAAGAGAATATACCACATCCGAATCATAACAAGGACGAGGGCCGACGGGGACGGATATCAAAACCATGGCACTATGTATAACAAATAACGTACGGGTAAGATAATTATTATACGAGTAACTATATATCCAAATCACACAAACATCAATTTTTTATATAAAATTTCATGAACAAGAGGCTCACCACAAGGTGGTGCCGGCGACGGGACGGTGCGGGCGATCGACGGTGGTTACGACGGAGATTTAGAAGGCACTAAGTAAACCACACCTACATATGCAAACTAAGTGTTATTTTAACCTCAAATTGCATATAAATCAAATACTAGCACATATATATATTTCCTCCCAAATTACTAAACTCACAAATTAATAACTATATAAAGCATTGCAAGAGCTAATCTAGCAATGAGAGATGAAAGGACAAAGTTGCTAACCTTTGTGATCATTTGAATGGATGGGGGCCTTCAAATCTTAACAAATTTTGGGCAAAATATGTGATGAGCTCGAGAGGAAGAGGGGAAGAACATAGAGGAGAGGGGAAAGGGGAAGAACAGAGCGAGCTCGGGTGGACGAATGGTTTATGTAGGACGACCTTTAGTACCGGTTCGTGCCAAGAACCGATACTAAAGGTGCTGGAGGGGGCCCAGACTGACAACATCCTGCCACCACTCTCATTAGTACCGGTTCGTGGCACGAACCTGTGCTAAAGGTTAGCCACGAACCGGTACTAATGAGAGCGGCCCGGCTAGCCGTTGGAACCGGCACTAATGTATACATTTGTGACGGCTCAAATACAAACCGGCACTAATGTGCTTCACGTTTGACCCTTTTTCTACTAGTGAGCCCAGTTCAAATTTGAACTGATGACGGTTCACACCTGGAGCCGCCTGACCAAAATCGGTAAGCAATGGAGCGTGATCCGATAAGGCTTCGATTCTTAGTGCCCGTACCAAAGCTAGGGGGTACTTAAATTCCCAGTCGGTGGTAACTAGTACCCGGTCAAGTTTCTCAAAGGTTGGGATTGCTCTGCTATTGGCCCAAGTGTATTGGCGACCAAACATACTGAGTTCCCGCAAATCGAGACTGTCAATAACAGCATTAAAAAGAAACGGCCATCTCGTGTCAAACCGGTCATTGTTTTTTTCCTGCTGATATTGAAGAATATTGAAATCCCCCCTCCCCCCCCCCCGATTAACATAGGGTGGGGATTCTCTCGGCAGGTATTGACGAGTTCTTTGAGAAAGGCCGACTTAAACTCCTCTTGAGCGGCGCCATAAACAGCAACCAAGCTCCAAATGAAGTTATCAGATTTATTTCGAAGGTGGAATTTGATATGATATTCCCCCTTCGATGCAGAGAGAAGTTTCAAGTATGTGAAGTGTATACCTAATAGAATACCCCCAGACCTCCTAGAAGGTGATAGAATATGCCATTCATAATCATTACCACATGAAAAATGGTCAAGATCACGTGTTGGGAAGTCACGCTTGCCACACTCAGAAATAGCCACAAAGTCCAAAGAATGATCCCTAACACAATCGGAAATATGTTTATGTTTAGCCAAGTCACCAAGACCTCTGCTATTTCAAAACATTCCTCTCATGATGAATCTTTTTTGTGTTTGGAGACATTTGCCTTCTTAGATGGACGTCCCTTTTTGTTTCCTGAATTAGACTTGTTCTTATGTACCGACGCGACGAGCTCACATAGCATAGTGTCACGCGCGGTATCTTCCAAGTCTACTTCAGTTGTGTCTTTAATCAGATGGGAAAGGAGCTTGCCTTCATGGTTGGCATCAGACTCCTCATCCTCCTCATCTGACACTAAGGGGTCCACAAATATAGGCTATTTAGGAGCAACCGTAAGCCGGTCGAACTCCACTTGCTTAAGAGCCTTAACAGAAAAGTCTACCGCTTTTTCACGTAGAACTTGGCTGATGGTGCAATACAAATATACTACCACTGTTTTGAAATTTTTAATTACTTGATTGTCCTAGCCAGGTACTACGCCCGTCCGGGTTTATTAGGCCCTCCAACCTTGACTATGTAGCTAGCTTGCTTCACGGTGGATATATGATTTGCATGCAACAGATCATCCCGTTATGATGGTTGAAGAACTGCACCCTGTCGCCCCATGCATCGATCTGATCCAGTGAGGCTTGAGTAGAGATCTCTATCTATCTATTATATACTGGACTTTTAAGTTTGCCTCGAGACCTACATGGGTCATGGCGGAAAAAAAGACAATGTAAGATGATCATATATGTGCATACGTGAAATTGACATGCTAATTTCATGAAGAAGAATGGACTTGAGAGGCGATATGGATGGTTACCAGAAAATAGCTTTCTCCCATTTGCAAGCTCTGAATCAGAATGCCATAGTCGTTGACTGGGAGGAGGGTCCCGGTGGAGTGGAGGAGCACCACGTCCTGGCCAAACATGGCTCGCAAGTCTATTGGACCCCTCGGGACCTCCATTGGGACTCCGTTGATGAACACCGTGATCGTCGCTGGAATTAACATGCAATCAGCCAGTCAATCAGAGGCGGCATACAACCCACTCAGAATAAGAATTCAATAGATCATTTGACGACAGTATTATTAACAAATAAAGATGCATGCATAAGCTAGCCAACCAAATTCTGATCGGTATTATACGGTGGTTCGGTAGTACCGTTTACTCATGGTTGGGACCTCTCTATCATATGGAAAAAAATGCTTATAGGCCTAGTTTATGTGATTTGATGATATCGTTATGTCATGAGAGCATGAGAATGCATCGTCCTAATGCAGAGGCCGGGCTAATCCTCCTTTCCGAATTTCCCGCAAAAAAAAAATCCTCCTTTCCGAAACAAAAAAATGAGAGTATGAGAAAACGATGAAAGGATATGTAAGCCGTGCGCTTTTTGTGGCATATGCTTATAAGCTGAGCATATTTTTTGTCACGCTGGGCTTACGGTCATACAAGCCGAGGTCAATTTCGTTGCCGTGTTTTCTTCTTTTAATACTCGGTGTATATGCTTATATCAGCCGAGTATTATGTGTGAATCTACGCTCGGCTTGCATCTAGATTCAGATACACGGTAACTTACAGTTTTGCTGTAGTGTATTATCTGCTAGCGTGCATGGACACTTTAGCATATCTTTGCATGCATGCAAGCAAACATGAAGAGGCTGTCCAGCGCAATTACCATTCCTTGTTTTAAACTAGAAGTAAGCTATGTAATGGTAGTATTACGGTGAAGAGAAAAAATAAGAAAAATCACGATCAAGTACATGTGCATGCATGCAGGAAATCCCAAAGTTTTAACCCATGCATGTTCACTATAAACGTTCTGTTCAACAAAGTGGGCATCACGTCCAACTGTATTATGCATAAACATGTGTTGATTCCATCCGATGCATGTGACACATGGAAGCTTAAGTGGATATACAAACGAGACACAGGGAAATAAAGATGACGATGCATGAATGCAGAAATTTAAAAATTGCCCGATGAACCTCCACAGGATTGAGAACAGACGTATGTCATGGTGGAGAGGACAACAGATGTATCAGGTACTATGATCTTATGCATGCACAGGTAGACTAGGAAGTTGTAACTGAACTATATCCAAGGACTAAAGAACAAGTAGCTGAACTATATCTCAAGGAAGACCAAATAAAGTATGTCTCCAGAAGATCCAAGCTAGATCTCCTTGAATTCTGCATCTCACATAAATATAGACAAACGAAACTGTAGGGTGAAATCAGCATTTCCATCGTCAAAAGTTCTTTTGGATGTTTCATGCATATCCACTAGCAATTCTTTCTCATAAGAAGTTCATAAATTAGAGTCTTTCAATGAAAGTATTTGTAGAGTTGAGGGGAATTGTTACATGCATGAGATGGATCACATGAACCAACCAATTGAAGGGAGCAACCACGTACTACTACGTAACTAAAATGATCGACAGTACTCAACTCACCTGCCGGTAACTGGCACGAGTAGTACTGCTGCTGCACAGCGGTGCTCGGCGCCGAGGAGGAGGGTCCGGCGGGGCTCCCAACGAATCCCATCTGACGCGAGATGGCGAAGAGATCGTCGCTGCCGCCGGTGTCGACGTCCGCCATCAGCCCTGACGCCAGCGGCGACGATGTCCCGCACGATGCCTGCAGGTACCCAACGCCGGCACCCGGCACCCCCGCGCCGTGCGCCGCGAAAGGCCCCAGCGACGAGCCTCCCGTGCTTCCAGACGAGGACGACGAGGTCGCCTGCTGCTCGTACTGGCTCGCGCACCCACCGATTGCCATGGGGTGAACGGAGCCGGTGCCGGATGGAAGACCGATGGTGGCGCTAGCAGCCGGCAAGCTATTGGCGGTGGCGGAGGAGGCTGCTGCTGCTGCTGCTGCGGCCGCGGCGGCTGCGGCCTGCATCTGGCGCTGGCGGCGGCGTGAGCGAGAACGACGGTTCTGGAACCAGTAGAAGACGTTGGCGTCTCCGACGGCGCCGAAGCGCTCGAGCAGCTTGCGGATGCGGACGGTCTCGTCCTTGGGCGGGTTGACCATGCCGCTGTTGAAGATGGACTCGAGGATGAGTATCTGCTCCGGCTTGGGCGTCCACCGCGAGCGCACCGGCTCCCCCGCCCCCCTCCCTCCGCTGCGGCGCTCGTCCGGGCTGCCGCCCGACGACTGCCTGTCCGGGCTGTTGCTGCCCCCCTCCATGGATCAATCGAATTGTTGGGTATGCCGGGGGGAGAACCCGTTGGTTAATCACACTAGCTCTAGCTAGGTGTGAAGAGGGCAGTAGGTTTCTGGGCGGTTTCGTGCTTGGATCGATGGAGGAGATGAGAGAGAGTGACGAGGAAAGGCAGCAATTCAAGGGGACAACCAACCTTGCACCCTCATGTCTCTGTTGAGGGGTTGTACTTATAGATAGGTGCAAGGGGGGCTGGCTGGCTGGCTGGTTACGGGTTAGTGAAGAAGAGGAAGAATGTCCTGGAGAAGTTCGTAGTAGCGGTGCCTATATATCTATAGACTCGAGGGGTTTGTACAACGAGTCTTTGTACAACCCCAACCGCGACATGATTATTTATTTACTGCTACGTACGGCCAAATTACTGTTTTTATGACATATTAGTGTTGGGCCTGATCAGTGATTCTGTGAGGGATTCTAATCTTTACAATTCTTGGTTTATCTGGAAGACCATTTTCAGAAACCACTACTCAACTTCTTACTGGGAGATGATTGTATATTACCAACATTCTCTATGACACGTTCTTTTCTTACTTATGTTTTGTATACAAGTGATAATTCTGGTTATAACCAGCATTAATAATTGTGTAGTCAGACAACACTGCATTTTTTTTATTGTCCAAATTCATGTTGTGACCAACACTTGTCCTATAACATCAAGTTTTGATCAAATGTTGTACTGATGTAATTTAAAGGAATTTCATAGGATTTCTAGAGGATTATAATCCTTAGGAACTTTTACTAAGGTGGTTGTTTGATTCGTATGATTGAATCCTATAGGAATTTTTCATACAGAACATTTGTACTACATTTCATAGAAAATCTAGCATCCACAACTTTTTGGAAAAGAAACACTTTGGTTTTCCTGTAAAGCAATGAAGCACACTTAACTCCCGTAGGATTCTAATTGGCATGACATTCTAATCATGTGCTTTTCTTATTTCTATATTTTTACAATCCTGCTAATCAAATAGGCCCTTTTTTTGAAGCACCAACCGTCCAACAATTGTTCTGTTGTAATTTCTATTAATAATAAGTATATTTTACAAAGAAGAAAACAAAAGTAATGATCTAAAAGGATCTATCCTACTCCGTTTTTTCTAACATAATGGCAGTAAAAGGTGTAGCCACTTCTTAAGGTATCATTCTAGATGATCCCTTATCCACTTCTACAAGGTGTTTTAAGTGCTTCACTTTTATTCTATGAGCCTGTAAGCTCAAATCCTCTTTTAGCCTGAACTTCCAACATCTCACACTGTGTGCTTCATTTCTGAAAAAAAAAAGACATTTCTTTGACACCAAGTTTCCCAGCATCCTTGAATAATAATCTCCATTGCAGTACCTTTGGGAAGTAGTTGGTAGATGAGTTGAATGTCGCCTGATGAAGATATTCCAGGTTTTCTCCTTGGCAACACACAGTGCCAACCGTTATTTACGCGGTAACACCCCTTAGATTTTAGAATGGATGGGGGAACTAACAATGCCTAGCTCATCCATGTTTTCTACTGCTAATATTCGTGTGTATTTGGTGATGATCCCGATGCATATTTTCAAACAAGTCATGTTCACAGGCGCGAGACTTGTGCTTCTAGCTCCAATTGGTCTCCACCGCCGACAGGTACTGCTTGATCTTCTGTGATGTAGTTGTATTTGCTAGTCTTAACAAGGCTGTATTGGGTGTGGTGGAGCTGGATCATGAAGGGTAGTGCAAGCTCTCATGCTGTGAGCCCCTCGCTGGAGCTTACGAATTGAAGATGGCCGAAGCCTTGGCACTTCGCCGTGCGGTCCTTTTGGCTCGGAATGAATGTCTTATGCATGTGATATTCGACTTTGATTGCCTCTCTCTGGTGAAACAAATCAACTACAAGGTTCGGGACCGTTCGGGTGTGGGCTATGTTGTTATGGACATCAAACATGTGGTTCTAGCTTTCACTTCATCGACCTTCAAGCATGTCGTCAGCATTAATGTAGTCGCCCATGTTTTGGCCTATTCTTATAAGAATTCTCGTTTGCTTTGCGTTTCACACTTCTGCTTCGGATTGTACCTAGGAGACCTTGTATGGCTTCATTGTTGAATCAATAAAATACTGATGTTCCTAAAAAGAAAACTATGCTAGCTTCGTCTATATGAGAGACTCGGAGGGAGTAGGTGGCATGATGACCACTTAATTAAGATGCCAGGCCACCAATTAGTACTAGTTAGTTTTAATGGATAGGATTATGTTTCTAGTGATTGGCATGTCAAGATGACTAGCCTGCACCATTCCGCATGAGTGGTTAGCTATCGCGAAATTAAAAAATCAACAAAAGATGACTAGCCTGCTGAAGGGGATCAAAATTATCTTAGTTTACCTAGCCAGTGCTATGCACCTAGCCATCACTTGCTGCCTAAGCGAGCTAGTACTTGACTACCCCCTTCAAAGATTATTACTTTTTAAATGTGGCTCATGTATATCTTCATATACTCCCTCTGTTTTCAAATATAAGACGTATTTAAACTGACAAACCATCTTATATTTGTGAATAGAGGTAGTATATCATAATCTATTATGATATGCAGAGTATTGTTCTACGAGCTAGATTCGTCCAAGCCTCTTTTATATCGGCATGCTCATTTGGCTCTGCATCAATGTCAATTGTCATCTTATCGACGAGATAACCCTTAGGACAAAGATTATTTCTTGAGTAAATTCATCCGGTATCCTGTGCATGCATTTTATTTCATCGCTACATGTTGTACATCGAGTATTTATACATAGATAATGAACATATTCCTGTTTTTCAACTGCTTTTAAATTTTCCCGGAGAAAAGAAAAGACAGATTAAAATAAATAAAGTTTGGTGCTAAAAAGCTTTTTAAAGCACTTAATTTTTCTCGGAAAAAGTTTACATGAGGTTAGAAAACCCTTAATGTTTATTATAAATAAGTAAGTTGGTTTATTTTACCATTTCTTTATTTTAGTGCTCATCGGCGCACATGAGCCTGAGCTCCAAGACGGCTCCCCCTTCGTTTGACTCTGGTCAATTACTCTCTTCAAATGTTACTTTCTCGAAACATACTTTCATCCCGCTTTATTATATATAAAGCAACAGTCGAACAAAATACACGATCGAACGAATACAAGGAGATGAGGTAGCCCTGCTGACTTGACAAATACAAGGGGTATATGATTGGTGTTAGTTATTAACCGACCGGAATTGCTTCACACACGATACACATGAACAATCTGCGAACGATGCCTTCTCTACGCATCAGCTAAAAAAACAAAACCAATCGCCTCCTGCGTTCACGGACGCGGTTGGAGCTGCCACATGGGATCGTCCATGAGTCGGCTGCTGGGTTGTCGTGTGTATAGCAGCGCCGTTAACCGACGTTCCCGTCGTTGGTCTTAAATATTCGTTTTGTACACGACGACCATCATATATGTGTATGACATTCCAATAAAAAAAGTGTATGACATATTAGGTTCCTCTCCAATCAAATCGTGACTTGCACCAATCAACGTCAACAAAGGGCAGAGCTCGTGGCCATCAAATCAGGCAGCCTATATACGTAAATAAATAAGAGCAGGCGTCAGTGATTGCACAATTTTTTGTTTCAACGATGGAAAGAGAAGTGCACCTCAGTTTCCACTAATGCCGTCGTCAAACTGCTTGATCTGTACGAAAAACGAATCATTAGCGAAAAGTGTCTTACCGGTAGAATTGTATCGACAGAGTCATCCAACCACCACTCATTTTCACGGAAATTCACAGGGATAAGTAAGTGCGGCGCACTCACAAAGGCCTGTCACCCATTTGATTTGCCTCGCAATTAGCGGAGCAGTTAAATTCCGCACGAGGGCACAGTAGAAAAAAGGTCTGACTGTATAACACCTAAGTTATGAAAAGTTTTCTTAATTGTTTCTTTTTTTACTAGCGTGCGACAAATAAATTGAAAGTGACGCAGTTCGCTCAATAGGAATTGAACTTGTGGTAGAAGCCGCTGCTGATTCTGGAGACGGACTGTGTTGAAATGCTGCACATGATCCACACAAGAGGAGTTGATAGATCCAAGTATACATATCACATTAGTAAGATCAAAGAGATTCTGTCTCACGAAAGGTACATAAGTCTAGCTAAAATAAGCTGCCATGCTAATGTGGCGAGCCATACCCTAGCAAGCATGGGGCGTTCGCAGCAACGAACCGCCTGTTGGCTTCGGAACTCGCCTGATGAGATAGCGAGCATAGTAAAGTCTGAATGTAATCATTATGGTTGATTAATGAAAGTTCCTTTCCCACAAAAAAAAATATTAGGTAACGACAGATCCTACCACTCCAATAGCTGATGTTGACTTTCAGGAAAGAAATATTTAAGAACATAGCACAACGCCAAGATTAGAAGACATGTTTGAAACCTTCTTTACACAGATTTTGCTTTTTTAAATAGCGAATACTTTTGAAAACACAAATAATTTTTAAATTTCCAAAATTATTGTTCAAATGTGAATAACCTTCATAATTCTGATTTTTTTTTAAAAATATTAACAAAATTTTGGTATTCTGGACAATTTCTTCTCGATTTTTTTTTTGAAACACAGGAAACTTTTTAAAAGCATATAAAAGTTTTTAGAGTGTGTACATTTTAATGATAATGTTTTAAATAAAGGGATAAGTATATTTTTCGTCCATGGACTTTCGTGATAGTTTAGAAATCGTCCCTCAACTTTAAAACCACTAAAGCTAAGTCCCTCAACTATTTAAACCGGATAAGTTTCGTCCCTTCAAGTGGTTTCAGTATGATGTGAAACCGGTTTTGATTAAACTGGCCACGTGGCCTGGTTTTTACCCCAACTCGATCCACTTCCAGAGTGGGGGCGCTTGCCTCTGTCAGTCACCACTACCAACCTGCTCAACGCCGCCCCCGAGATCGCCAAGCACGTCGCCGACGCCCACCCCGTCCTCGCTTTCACCAATCGCGATCTCTT